AAACTGACGACCCTGTCTGCCAACAGCTTAAGTTCTATGCATCCCAACTGTACTACCTATCGTCTTCTTCTGGAATAAATCAATGAAACGACTTGCCTTGCTGAAGTGATTGCCCTTGACACAACTTTTGGCTTTTCCTCCTGGAAATCACTTTTATTAAAGCAAAAAGATATGAAAGTTATGTCTTTGTGTAAATGGCATTATAATGGCCCAGTAAGATGCTTGAGTCATTTCCACATTTGCCTCCATGGAGAATAAGGTTTAAGCCATGTATGCTTAAGCAGACAACCTGTTCATGTCTCTTTACAAAGCTCTCTCTTTGGTCTTTGCAATGTCAAAGATTTCAGAGTGGCCACCAGCATTCATGCTTCTACTCACCATGGGTGTATATAAAAAGATGAGAATGATGTTTTAATAAAGGGGCAATGATTAGTATGGATTTATTCTTGGAAGACTACTAGATTATTAAAATTTGTTTTTATGTTCATTTTAGAGCTTTGCTTTCTATGTCCACCCAGTGTCATTTAGCAAAATATGGAGCAAACTAGCTGTAGGTCATATAAACAACGGAGGGTAGGGTAGCTCAGGAACACTATCAGAGATACACAGGTGGCAAGAAATAGATGGTCAATGGTAAAGACTTTCCAGCTTTAATTTCTTTAATTAAAAAAAATCTTACAAGCTGGGTTTGGGGGTATTTCCCCTCTATTCTCAGCAGGAGGATCACAAGTTCAAGGTCAGCCTAGGTAACTCAATCTCAAAAATAAAATTAAAGAACTGGGAGTATAGTACAGTAGTATAGTATTTGTTTAGCATGCATGAGGCCCTGGGTTCAATTCCCAGGACCACCAAAAATTAAAAAGGAATCTTACACACACAGGTATGCATACACCTCTTCGCTCATGTATATATCCAGAAACTGGAGTAAGAAAAATATTATGCTATGAATAACCATGGGAACTCTTGAACTCCTGTGTGTCCCTCCTTGACTGTAACTCCAAAACTTGTTTCCAGAAGAGAATACCACCTGATGTTATCATTCTCTAGATTTCTATCAGATTTCCATCAGTTTTACTATATATATTTTTAACCCTAAATAACATATGGCTTAGTTTTGCATTTTGTACTTTATGTGAAGTATGTAATATTTGGTGATTTCAGACGTATTATTTAGTGAGGTTTCTGCAGTTTATCTGTAAATATGTCTGTAATTTATTTATTTTTTATGGTCCATAGGATTTCATGGTATGATAATCAACACTTACACACAGGGAACATTAATGATATTTCTACTTTTTATTCTATTTTAAACAATGCTACTATAGACATTCTTCTATATATGTACTAGTACACAAGTACCAGGTCCTCCAGGGGAAGAACCATAGATTTAGGATATGTATTTCTTCAATAATAACAATTTTTCAACTCATTATTGGAAGTAAACACATCAATTTACACATGCACTGGCAAAATATGGATAGTCTGAAACTCTCTACCTTGCCAACACTTGGCATGCTCAATATTATGGTTTAGATATGAGGTGTTCCCTAATAAGCTTATGTTAGATAATGCATGAATGTTCAGAGGTGAAATAATTCAACTATGGCAGCTGTACTAATTTCAGAGAATTAAGACATTTGAGGGATTAATAATTTGAATGAATTAACTGGGTAGTTAACTATAGGCAAATGGGACGTAGCTGAGGAAGCAGGTCACTCTAGGGCCTTGCTTTGGGGGTCTATATTTTCATTTCTGGCATCTCTCTCTTTCTCTCTCTCCCCTAACACACTCTCTCTCTCTCTCTCTCTCTCTCTCTCTCTCTTTCCCTCCCTCCCTCCCTCTCCCTCTCCCTCTCTCTCTCTTCCTGCTGTCATGAGCTGAACAGTTTTCCTCCACCACACCCTTCTGCCATCATGTTCTGTCTTACCTCAGGCCTAGAGCAATGGAGTTGGCCCACCATGAATGGAAGATCTGAAATTGTGAGCCCCAAATAAACTTCTCCTCCTCTAAGCTGTTCCTGTCAGGAATTTTGGTCACTTGACAAAAATCTAACACCCAAAAAAGTGGTAATTCACATAGACAATGAATCCTCTAGAATCACATCACGCTTCTGAGTCAGAGCTTGAACTACAATTACTTCATAGTGAATTCTCTCCTTTCAAAATTGAGAAAAATACATGGTTTGAATCCATAAAATGGCAAGTGTAAGTTTTGAAACCAATTCTATTGATGCTTACAAATTAGTCTCCCATTTTTCTTATAAGGAAATTCCCTATAACATTATGTCAAAACATTTGTGTCTAACTACTGTGTTTTGCCAAAGAGGTAAAGTTTCCAGTCAAAACAATTAATTAGAAGCTATTAATGATGATTTCAAAGATTTAAGTAGTCACTGTAAATGAAGAGAGAACTGAAGGGAACAAAAATCCCTAAAACATGGTGTAGGAGATGAGCTCCTTTGCTTTATCTCAAACTGGGATGTTTGCCTTAAAACCTCTAACTCTACTCCCATCATTAAATTACTTAATTAATAATAGAGACACAGTGACATCGGTTTTGTGATAGACTTCAACCTCAAACATAATTCTTTCTTCTTTTAAGGTAGGGTTAGTCCTTGTAATCTTTTATCTTTGTCACAAAAGTATTTGGGGTGCTGAAAGCATCATAGCACTAGTAGATCCAATTCTAGTTTGGTCAGCTACAGACCATCTGAGTAATCATTTGGGTAGAAAATTAAATTAATAGGTGAAACACTAAAATCCTTGAGTCATAAATTATTTTAGTAAAAACCTTAGTTTCATTTAATCTCTTGCTATATCTATTTATCCACCTACTGTCCTACCTACCTACCTACCTTTCTCCAAAAGGCAATGCCTGGATGTCATCATGAGATTCATGGTTTTAGTTGATTAGAGCTAATGAAATTCAGGTCAGCTAAGCCAAGATCTGCCCACAGAAAGATTAACTTTTCATGGTCACATGATCAACAAACACCCCTGCCAATGAGAGGATCAGGGAAAGAGAGACTCTACTGTCGAGTATAACACTTCTCACTTCTGGGGGGAAAAAACAAAAGACCATACTGTACTGATGATTGGTCTGTGATATTGGCCTTCACCATGAAGAGGAGCATGATTGATTTTGGTAGAGGAGACCTCAGAATAGGATAGTCTGGAACGAGTGAGGGGAGGCCCTCTGTGGGTACCTGCTATGGAGCCCTCCTCCAATAAGCAGCAGAGTCAGCTGCAACCTTCCCTATGACCTTAGACACTTGGTTAGCAGACACATATCCCCCTCTCTCACAGGAATACCCAGATTGTGACACATGCATTGAGATGTTATTCACATCAGGCAGAATAAGTGTGGATGGCAAGGAACGGTGCACGTTCCTTGGGTCTCTCACCTTCTGAGGGGTGAGGTCTCTCTCATGCTGGCTGCAAGTTTTGTTCTTCCAGAGTGAATGCTTCTATCAGAGGTCTCTGAGACTACACTTATTTTTCATTTTAACATTTTAGATAAAACTTACTTTTACAACAAAATCTTTCTGCTCAAAAATATGAAATATGTATTTTTTATACTAATTTATATTTTACAGACCGTCCTTGGGAGGTCCTATTTCCTCTTGCTAGTCCACTTGGATAACTCCTTTTTATTCCACTTTTGGATAGTTCCTTCAGTATGTCAAACATTATTGATATTTAGTAAAAGTCATTGTATCAAATGTCAGAGTGATAGGCCATTTATATCATTAAATCTCTGGCAATTATCCCTTTAAAAAACTTTTTCAAATAACCTTCCCATATGTTTAAACATTTTAGGAAATGATAATGTAAAAAAAAATGGAATGCTATGAATTTGACAAATTGTGCTATGAAGAAACATTTTCAAGAGTAAACACCATCCTTATGCCAAGATGTAAATGTTGAGATCAATGTGGAAAGAAAAAGAAATACAGCACTGTAAGAAATACAGCACCAATAGTTGTGAAGAACACTGTGGCTCTTTGGCACATCCCTGAAATAAAAAAAAAAATACTGTTTGGCAATCGTCTGTACAAATACGACCTTTTCTAGGCGATATGGTACCAGATTCCTTGTGTGTATTGCTTTTTCTTTACTGCTTATAGTGACCATCTTTTCCTTTCTTCGTAAGGCTGACCTTGTAAATGGGAAAGCACATCTCATAAGAGCAGTTAAATGTCAAGGAAGAACTTAATATTTCCTCTAGAGAGGAAATATTCAGTGCTTCATGGATGGCAGTGAAGAGTGATCCCTTGCACTAAAGTTTTAGAGACGGTACCTTCCAGGAAAGGCCCAAATTGGGATCAGTGATTTATCTTTCTCATAAGTCCAACACAAACCATGGCATAGGATTACAAAATAATGAAGAATGAAAGGAATTATCTGCCAGAATCTATAGTGGCACCCATTAGTCCTCCCTAATCCAGTTCTACAGGTATCAGGAAAGGCTCTTCCATCACTACTAAGGAATTCCATCACTTTGACACATGATAAAGAATAAATGCCAGGTGCTACTGTTCTGAACAATTGGTATCTACTTGCAGGCCTGATGATGACTCTCCTCTGAATTCCTAGAGGACTCCAGTCCCTTAATGGACCGTTTTGTGGGTATTTATCATCCTTGAACCGCTGACCAGAAGTGTCAAGTGATCACAGTTGCAACATGATTGTTTTTGCTTCATTCCTGATAGAAACTTCTCTGGTAGAAGTTGCAAAAAAATATTGACAATATTTTTTAAACCACAGAGAACTTCTTGAAATCTTGACTTCTCTCACACCAAGCAAGGAAAACAAAACAAAACAAACAGATTTGAGCTTGGACACTTAATTGATTTCTCTAAGAACAAGGACACAGTAAATAGGAATTCTTCCATCATCATCATCATCACCATCATCATCATCGGCAAACATTTGTTTTAAAACAACCACAACAGCAACAAAAAGGAAGACCAATTAGAAAGACTATGCATTTGCAATTACCTTGGAAACCCGGTTTGCAACCTCTCTGCCCACGGTCAGCCCCTGGACAAAGGTGCGAGCAGCAATGAAGGCACGGGTGACCTGGATCTTCAGCTTCCGGGGCACATCTCCAAATGGCTTCAGCTGGTCTGTGTATTTGCTCACGCACTCCAGGTAGTCCTCACTGAAGTGATACTGAGGGTTTATCAGCTGGAACATTCGTTCTAGGAGCCGAGCCCAGAAGTCATTCAGCATCTCCTCAAGGTTCACGTTGCCCCCAGTGTAATATCTCTTCAGCTCTGTGAAGAGGTCCTGGAACACTTCCGAATTCTGCATGTATAGCATCCCATAGGTCCGGACAAACATGTCATTGAGGGACTTCTCTGCATTTTCTAGAAGTTCTCGGAAAAATTCTGGAGATAAAACAAGAAAACAATCATAAATAATATCTAGAAAGCCCAAGGCATCTACTTGTATTAAACACAACCACTTTTAATGAGCAGTTTCATAGAAAAATGTAGTCTGTGATTAAGATATAAATGAACTGATCAAAACAGTATGTAAATGTGTACTTTTTTTCTTTTTGTAATACTGGGGATTGAACCCAGAGTCTCACACATGCTAGGCAGGCACCCCATTACTGAACTATACCCAGTCATTTTTATTTTGAGACAGTGTCTCCCTAAGTTGCATATGTTGGTCTCCAATTTGTGATCCTCTTGCCTCATCCTCCTGAGTAGCTGAGAGTACAGGCTAGCAGCACTGCACCTGACTAAAGACAATATTTTAAATGAGAATTGATCTACAACTGTGATCTTAGATGAGACAAAGGAATCAGAAGACTCTGTAAATTCTATTTCAGAGAGGATCCATTAACATCCGAAGCTTACCTCCTAACACTCTTCTAAAATAGCTCAATTCTTTTTTCATGAACTGTTAAATTTTAGAAAATCTTATGGTTTGATATAAACTCAAAATAGGTTGCAAACATAATGTGCAAAGTATCGCCATTAACACAGTAACAAATGCATACCTATGAACACATTTGCTCTGGCCTATTTACAAATTTGTTGTAATGCTAAATTCAATTACATTGCTTTTATTTGGGACAGTTCTTAAATGGGATGTTCAAATCAATGTAATATTTTGGACTCCTTCTAGTTCCTATATATAGCAATCAATTAAAAGTGTTCAGAGATTCATGATGCAATTAAATTCACTTAATACTAAAGCTATAATGAACATAATTAAGGTGGCCATAATGAATCAGAAAGCTATGAAGTATCTTGGATAATCATTATAGATGCAAACTATCATCTTACAGAACTTACTTGAACAAAATATTGATAGTTGGGCTTTCTGATTAAGACAATCTAAATGAAAAGTTTGTACAACAAATGAAATCTTTCATTCTGCAAGATCTCTTGAGTGTCGCTGAGATCACTATTAGGATACAAACCTAAGGCAGGCAAAAAAGCTAGGTCTGCTAGCCTCACTAGTTCAGCTGTCAGGCCGTATGAAGAGGTACCTCATGTATGTAGGGTATGTATATATGTAATGCACACTAGCCATGCATATGTGGGACGGACACTAACCCAGAAGTCATTGGGCTAGTAATACTGAGGGTTTATCAATGCATGAATAAGCCTGGGTAAAGTCTAAGCTTTATCCCATTTAGATAATATAATTTGGGGTGGCAAAAACACAAAGGAATAATAATGCTTCTGAGTTTATCAATCCAAGTTTCCAATAGTAGAGTGATTCCATTTCACTTCTTCAAAGCCCCTTGAAGCTATTCTGTTCTCCCTTGGAAATTCAGGGACAAATCAAGTCCTAGATATTTCAAGGACTTCAAGTAAAAACTTTATAAAAAGATTTTTTCTTTCTGGATCCCTGGGGGTTTCTTTCTGAAGAAAGAAGGGAAAAAGTGATGAGTCCTTCTCTGTGTCCCCAGGAACTACTCTGTGCTTTCTCAGAAGCTGGCTAAAGAAACACGTACTTAATTGCTTCAGATGTGGTTAATGCAGAATCAAACAATTTTCTTGATCATTACATAGTGTTTATACTAATGATAACTACCTTATATTTGTTTTCAAACAAGCAACAGAACTTAAAAAGACTCTGATCACTTGTTTACCCTTTTTAGCATAAGAGTTTCTTTTTTTGTTTCTCTTGATACAGAGGCTACAAAAACTTAGGGATTGCCTAAGTGCTATGACTGAGGAACCTTGTACAATTTTGTCCAAGTCAATAATTACTTGTTACTTTAATTATTCTCAAATGTAAAATCAGATTACATTTTATTAAACTGTTTTACTTGATAGGAAGATGAAAGTGATAATAACCCTGACTTGATTTGTATATATTGTAGTTGTGTATTAAAATTCCATACTGTACCCCACAAATATGTTCAATAGTTAAATGTTAGTCAAAAGTTAAGTAAAAATGTCTAAGGAGATGGAAATGCTAACTACCCTGATTTGATCGTTATGCACTAAATACATGTGTCAAATTATCACACTGTATCTCATAAATTTGTAAAATTAAAATAATTTGTATAAAGAAAACCACACTAGAGAGTGTGGTTCAATCTTTAAGGATTCGGTAAAATAAAATGAGTGTTGAAGCAGATGTTTACGTATGTTGTATGTCAATGCTATTTATAACTTTTTGAATCAAAGGCATAAAAAACATGTTTTTAGTAATGCTAGTCACCTAGTTTGTCCTAAAATGGAAACTATATTAAATTATTAATATTGATACCGAAGTATTAAAAGTAGTATAACTAAAATATTTCAGTCTTGAAACCAAGAAAGAAAATAGCCTAGGTCTACTGATATAGGAACAAGGTGAAAAGTATTGCAGACTGTGAAAGAATATAGAAAAGAAAGGAATAATCACTGAATTGAAAAATACTAATATAATGAGACTGGAAAGTGGATTCTAATCATGAGCTCTAGATAGCCTATTCATTTATCTTCTTTTGAGGTCAATTATTTTGTTGGACTCAGGAATTAAAGCTTAATTTATTGAACACGGTGTAGTGCCTTCAGCAATGAATAGTCAGTAATCAATAGTGTGGTTTAGATTTGCAAAGTGGTAAAAAAAAAAAGAGTGTGTTGGGGTGGGAAGGCCTTCTGGTCATCATGGCTCTCCAAAGACTTGAGGTAAAAATTGTCTTTATGAATGAAAATTTTAGTCTTCTATTAGCAACAGTAAAATCCCTGACGCTTTTTCCTGTCCTGACATAGGATCTCGGAAATATTGGGCTTCTGAGCACTCTTAAGACGAATCATTAAAATCAGACTGTCTCTTCTCTGCATCTTGTGTGGTTTTTATTTTTTATGTCTGAATTTGTATCCATAATAGAATACAGAAACCAAGTTATCACATTTCAATAAATATAGCTCAAGAATCATTTCAGAAGATTCCAAGCTTAAAGTTTTGTCTAAGGGTGTGTCATGGCCTCAAAAGTTAGCTATTAGCTTCACTGGTCCTCAAAAGTCAAATTACTCCTTGTTCAAAATCATTATATGGTTTACTGATCTCATAGTCAAAGTTAATATTTTGTATTGAAAGACACTAATACATCAGCCAATTATAAAAAAAATGTTGCTACCTTAGGGTACATTGATCTTATATCGTATGACAAATGGGAATCCAAGGTACTGAGGCAAAACTAATGTCCTGCCAAAATAAGTAAGCTCCTTTCATTGTCAGCAGGCCTGTGGACTTCCACCACTTGAAGGTTGACTCTGAACAAAGTACTTTATGCTTGGATGGAAATTGTTTCTCAGCAAACCAAACAAGATAGAGATTTGGAAGACAGTTATCTGATCCATTTTGCTGATGAAGTATTATGTCCAAACACATCCGAGAGAATAAAATTCAAGCGCAATATAAGAAAAAGCAACCTCTATGTAACCCTTTGTTTAATCAGAAAGGGCAAAAGCTCATATTGGAGAAAGCCTTCGATCAACAGAAATTCTCATCTGTAAGAAAGAGTCTGGCTGAAAGAAAGGCGATTTGAGTTTTTTCTTCCTCAATCACAAAATATACATCAAAGGTGGTTGCTTAGGGCTCAGTTATGCTTCATAGGTGCACAAAAAGAATTTTTCCAGCCAGCATTAGCCTCTGGGAGGGTTTTATTCATCCAGAGGGGCAATCTCAGATGGAAACATCTGTTTGCTGCGGGGCAGACTAAAAACTACCATTGCTCCTCTAGCAAAATTAAAGCCTGCACGGTGCAGCGGATTGCTTGGAGAGGCCTCTTAGGGGGCAAAAATCAACTCCTAGGAGCCAAGAGGTGCCCTGAGGATATCTGCGGAAGGCTTCAAATGAAGCCTTCAAATGAACAGACTGGAATGTAAGGTGGCACACAGAACAAAAGGGAAGCAAAAGGAACAGGGATAAAGCAGCCTAGGAATTCACAGGCTTTATAACACAGTAATATCTTTTCCTATTCAAACCAGAGGGTTGGCCTCCTTAACAGTACTGTGGATCAGCCCAGTGGTAGATCGGAAGTGGGGTTGGGATTATGCACAATATGCCATCATTTTCTGATTCTATTCTCCTGCTGTCCAAAATACTTCTCACTGAAATCTTGTTTAAAATAAGTGTTCCAGCATGGTGGTATGAATTCATGTAGTTACAGCTCAATAAGTGAAGAGTTTGGGTCACTGGTCAGTGGAGACTCCACCTGGTCTGAACTCTTGGACAGTGAGGGCTTTACGTGCCCATCTGAGACAGAGGTGCTATAAACCACATCTTAGAAGAGGACATTCACCTTCCTGTCATCCTCCAAACATTTTTTTCTTTCTTCTTCTCCTTCTCCTTGTTCTTCTTTTGGTAATGAGAATTGAACTCAGGGGTGCTTAACTCCTGAGCCCCATCCCCAGCACATTTTTTTATGTTTTATTTAGAGACAGGGTCTTGCAAAGTTGACTAGAGCCTCCATAAGTTGCAGAGGCTGGCTTTGAAATTTTGACCCTTCGGCCTCATCCTCCACATTCTTGAGCATTTAGAGAAAAGAAATCATTCATATCTTCCCACATTCCAAATTCACATGCACCTATTTAAACATAATACTGTGGTCTCTGTTCAAAAATTTATTGATTTATTATTAATATATTGTATTATATTGAATAATCTCAAGTGCTTTGTTTTGTGGGGTTTTTGATAAATAAGACTATACCATCTGTATTTCTTCATAATGCACATTTTCAAGAAACAAGAATATAAGAGAAAGATGTAAAAACTTATTTTCAATAGATATCTTATGATGATGCCTCACAATTTTTTTTTCAAAATTAGTTGCATTTTTGTGTAAGACTTTCAGAATGCATTTTTTTTTAAATTATGGGATTGATATTATATAACATTACTTCTAAAATGAGAATTTATTTTAAAAGCA